ACGGAGAGCGCTGATATATGCGCAAATTTAAATCTATGTACGCTGCGCCTACCGCGCGAATCCAATTTACATCACTGACTATATGTACAAATTTAGTGTTTTAATACACAAATTTAATTGTTAAGTCCACCCTCCATGTTACAAACTAGCAGTCAATTATTAGTTAAAAATTAAAAACAAATGCCTTTATGTCAAGTAAAATAAGATCTTTCGACCTAAATGCTTAGATCCGGAGTATATCATGTAGCCTTGTATAAAAAGAATGATGACTATATAAATAAATTTTCATGATAAGCATCTTTACTTAGAGATCGGTAGTTTAATTTTATTACTCAAGATTCGGGAATTTTAAAGGTACGTACCCAATCTTAAAATGTCAATGGCACCGTGACCTGTCCCGGGTAATAGCTCGACTTTATATGGCTAAAAATCAAAAATTCTAGTAACGGTAACGGTAATACAGATTCCTAATTTAGTTCTTCCTAAGCCTTTTAATATAAATTCATTAATTAGCCAATCATATTTAATCTGATCATGTTCCTTTTCGTGTTTCGATATTGTTAAAATCCTTATTAAGCATCATTAAGCATGACCAAATAAAAAGTTTTTAATTGGAGAATGCTTTCAAACTCAGTTTTATCATCCAGATTTCTAAATAACGATAACATAACATGAATGTACATCCAGTAATAGCTCCTCCTTTCGGAATACCTACCACTTCGACAGCGATTACCAGGAGGTTTAAGCCCATTGAAACATGCGATAATTGCAAGCTACGTAAAGTAAAGTGTGACAAAGAGCGTCCACAGTGTGGTACCTGTCGTAAATCTAAGCGAGAATGTAAATATGAACTTTCTGCATCATCAAAGCGTGGACGGCCGAGAAACGAAGTCGAAATGTTACAAGAGCAAATCGAGGATATTCAAAATATACAGTACCATCAGTTGAATCAAATGGGATCTCTACTAAAAATGGCTGTATTGCCTGATGCTCAAGAAACAATGCCTATGGCTAGTGATAATAATGCGGTGGGTGATTATCTTATGTCAAATAATCCTACCGATGAAGCATATGTAAGTCACAGTTTTTTTTTTTTTAAATGAAAATTTTATGAATGTGAAATGAAATGGTTTTATTTATTTGTCAGGGGTGGAACAATTTTTATTCTCCCTTAATAAGTGATGAAAATCCTCCGCCAAGTTTAAATCTAGATCTTTCAGGAGATACCTTAACGTTTTTTACGGAATTTAAACCAGACCAATCCGATTTGCCAATACAGGTTTGCTACAACTGTAATTCTCCAATATCTTCTTCAAGTATCAGATTGATACTAACAAAAAATTATTTTCAATAAAAGGACATTCCAGATACAGTCCCAACAACATATGATGCAGACGTCGCCTATCAATCACAGGATCCTTTGGATCAACTCGCTGCTAAATTTAAATCTTCTCTATATGTGGGCCCTTCATCTTTAGTAACGTTAAATGATGATGGAGAAGAGCAACTCATACCTCAAGATGATTTTTCCGATTTATCTTTAGTTGAGGATCAACTAAAGGTTTTACCAATTCCTGGAATTGCAGAGAGCTTGATTGATGTCTACTATCAAGTAATTGAAACTTTCATTTTTCATGGATTTGGTTTATTTAGCTTGAGTCTTAGTGTTAAATTTACCTACTATTAATTATATAGACAGCGTACAGACACTATCCTCATTTAAAGAAAAAAGTTGTGTTAGATTGTTTTAGAGAATTGTCGAGGCCGCAACATTTCCTTTTACTCAATAGCGTGTTTTTCGCAGCTTCTCCATTTCATCCTGACACGAATTTACGTGATAGAGAGACTTATCACCAGGCATGAAACTAAAAATAATAATAAATTTGCTGATACATATATGTTATATAACTTTATTGATCATATTGTTAACTATAATATAGAGAGCGCTAGGTAAACTTTGAACCAAAATGAATATTACATTCTGCACAAGAATTACAATTAAAAATTTAAATATTTGTTAAAATTAGCATTACTACAAACCCATTGTCTCAAAACTCCACATGTCTTAACTGTTGTTAGTTTGTTCATACTTGGGCTTCACGTTAGAAGGGTAATATTTTGATGTGTTTTTATTATTGTTCTTTTTCGATATCTTTTTTTTTTCAACAAATTGACTTTACATAATTTGTAGACAGGAATTGTATGGATATATAACGGAATTGTATCCAAAATGATATTTGAATTAGGATTGCATCGTAAAGTCAAGAGTGATCAGATTAGTGACGAAGTTAAAGAAATGCAAGATATGGCATTTTGGGGTTTTTTTGCTTCTGAAACGTGAGTTTTACATTTTGAAATAATCTTTTTCTTTTTTTTTTGATTTACCAATTCATCATTAACATTTTTATTAATAACTAAATATTTTAATTTCAGTTGGGTTTCAGCTTGTTATGGTCGTCCAAGCGCTATAGATGAGTCTACATGCGATGTTGATCTCCTTTCAATACCACCAGATTCAAATCCAGATGAAGAAACACGATTGCATATAGCTTGGGTCTTACATATCAATTTGTTGCGCATTTTTGCTCAAGTGAGTTAATTGAATTTTTGATTACTTTATTAACAGTTACTCTCGGTTAATCAGTTACTCAAAAGAATCTATATATTTTTTCTAGGTTCGTAAATATTTACATGGTTGGGCAAAAATTGCTGGCAGTAGTCGGGAGGAAAACCAGTTTCGTTTTTTAGATGGAACGTTAGGGAAATGGTTTTATACTTTACCACATTGGCTAAAATTTGAAGAAATGGCACAAGATCCGAAAGGAAGTTTCTTAGGTGCAATCGGAGGTGATCTTGAAATATTATTTTAATATTTATTATTTTTATTGTCTTTTTAAAACTTCAATAACTATTTTCTTTAATAGGAGAAATGCATACTCTTTTCTGGACGGTACTTATTCTTCTTCATAGTCGCAATCTTACCATGTTCACTTCGGATCATTCGTTGGATGATTCAAATTTGGCATCTCAAACTATTTGTGTTCATGCTGCAATAATTCTTCTCCATTGTCTTGATGTGCTTATGAATACTGTGCCAAATTTTTATGAACAAACTTGCACTGCTCTTTTTTCGTTTGCACCTGCCATACGTGTGTTAACGTGGACTGCTAAACGTGGTGATTCTAAAGCAGAGCTTATGGTACAAAGGCTAAATGAGATTAAGAAAGAAGTTGCAGAGATTGCAAGGCGAAGATTTGTTGACCAAACAACAGGTGAAGGTAGATTAGATGGTGAGGAAAAACTAAAAGGAAGTTTAAACGTATTTAAGGCGTACGAAGAACAAGCGACGTTTGATTCTGAAAAACAAAAAGATAATTCATATAAAAAATACCGAAAGTCCCCTAACTTACCTTCGTGGGGTGATGATAAAAATGATTTTACTTTTACCTTCAATTTACCTGTTAATTTTAATAATTCAACTCCACAATATTTATCATCACAACATCCTATTGATGGTGATCAACAAAATTATCAACAATCGACTACTGATAATTCAACTATTTCAAATATTTTTTTTGACTCTATTTCATCTCAGAACGCTTCCACTTCCATCTTTACAAATCCTACAGTACCACAAAATCCTGATTTATCTTACAATCAACAAACCATTTTTAGCAACAATAACTTTAATTTTTAACTAAACGAGTTAGTTTACAAATCTTAGTTTCTGGGACTAAGAATGGTAAAAAAAAAAACCGGTTTAAATCGTTTTATGTTTTCAATTGTTTTAAAAAACGTCGTCAGTTGACGCTGGAATTTGGCTGAAGCTTAAATTGTAAATTTTTGGCTAACTTCAGTCAAGTTCAGCATAAGCCGTGACATATCTGTATTTCTTAGATCGAGTCAACTTTAAAAAAGACACATGCCATAATCTCGTCTCTATACATTTTACACGTAAAATATTATGAATGTATATTTTAAAAATTCACCAAATTTTCATATTTTCACATTTTTTGTTTTTCTAACACCGAATCATTCTAGCATATTGCTAAAGAAAGTTTAAACGAATTCCTTTCAAGGGCGGGACATAATACATTCAAACCTCTCTATAGTCACCTCTATAGTCATATTTACTTATAATCACAAATTTTTAAAACCAACGTTATATCACGTATAAAATTTATCAGCTATATAACGATAAAGTGTTGAAAATTCGAATGTGCGGATCCAATCAAGTCGTATTATTTCGAAAATCTGGATCCGCACATTCAAATTTTCAACACTGGTACAAATTCTTTAATAAGCAAATTCTTCAAACCAAGGGTGTGATTATAGAGAGGCTTGACTGTATTCACGATCATGATGTATGAAAACATTTTATTAAACAATTAATTAAAAATCAAACAATCATGATTTTTAAGATCGCGTTTTAAATTCATAATTTGGACTGAGTGAATGAAATAGATTTTATTGTTTCAAAAATTTGCAAATTAGTAGAAGTTTTAAATGTTTATCAATATTTCTATTGTTCAAATTTAAAGATATTTTATCTCAATACGATGCACTGTGTATTATATGAGAATTTAAAATAAAAATATTTCGAGAGTATACTCGCGCTGTAAGTTAGTAAAATCCGTTACATAACGGATTTTACTAATTTACGGAGCAGGTTTCATCCCCGTCTTGAATATTTATTGGAAAATAAAAAAAGGAATATTTATTAGAAAATAAAAAAAGAAATATTACAAAGATAGGCAGCTCGGGTTGCTATTTGTGATGAATACAACTTTGAAGAGCCTAATGGCAAAGGTTATTAAATAATAAAATGCTGAAATTGTGTTGAGAAATATGAAATCTTATCGCTGTTTTCGATTTACTTGGGTATCGGTATTGATTGATTTTGCGATATATGAAAAAATTTTTGAGTCCCGTGAGTTCCATAATCACAATATTAGGTACTGCACAGTCTACCCTTAATATTTGACTTTTTAAAGAATGTTATTATAAAGGGGTTGTGCTTATACGTATACCCGTATAAAGGTAGTTTTAACGATATTTTGTTCTTGAGTAAGCGATTATAGTAATAGTAGTAGTCCAAAAAATTTTACCATTTCGTGTAACCCGGTCTTGCAGATCGCTCGTGATAACATGAGCACACTGATCTTCGCCGTCAAAATTTTCACTTTCACGTGACAGTGTTTTGGCGCACAAAAAAATCTTTAAGTTCGTTTAAGTTAAGGTTAGTGCCTAAGATGGAGTTAAATATTAGTGGTGTCTATAGTAAAATTGCTCAAGGAAAATTTTTTGTTAGAACACAAAAGGTCGTTTCTTATGCAAATTTTTGAGAAATCTGCGAATTTTGAAAAAGCGAATGTTTTGTTTTGATCTTCCTGATCGTGTAATATTACATCAAAGCGAGGATAAGCCATTGTAGATCCTCACATGAAAGTGAAATTTTGATGGTGATACTAGAGTAGTTGTGTAAATCAAGTAAATCAACCAACCAGAATTGTAAAACTTTGTTTATACAGATTAGTCTGAAGAAGTTAAAAAATAAAGAAAACACAAAAAGATGAAAAACAGCAGTCTTAACCTATCTTGGGGCACTAATTAAAAAAAATGTCAAAAAGGAAATTTTATCTATATCTCTTTTCTTATATAAACACCAAACTAACACTAATTTTTAATTTTAATTTTAATTAATTGATAATTCATTTATAATCAGCACTGTTTTTATAGTAAGAATTAAGACAAATTTCATTTAAGTTTTATAATAGAGTGGAATTTGGTATTAGCTCAAAGCAAAGTTTTTTTTTATTAAGTTAACCTTTCTTCAAGCTCTAACAAAAGTTGTAAAGCTCTTTTTTACAGTTCTAATGGTACCGTATTTTCGCAAAATAACACCCCCTAAAAATAGCATTATAGTTTCAAAATAACACTCATGCACATCCCAAAATAATGTGCACCTATATAAAGTAATCATATAAATGCCAAATATTTGTTATATATAAATATCGACAGTTGATTTTATGCCTTAGAATTCATAAAATAGCTATGTAGTAATAGGCGCATTTATAAATTTTCATATCAATATATAAATTTAATTTATTATTTAAAAAATCTTTATTATATATTTATAACTGTGTTTTCTATTTAAATAAATATTTTATTTATTATTTTAACTTCAATTCTACCATTTTTTTGGTTATCAAATAAATTAATCATTTGAAACCTTAGTTCCATCATCATTGCTGATTGCATTAAGATTTTTATTTTAGAAGGTTAATTAATGACCTTGTAACTCTAATTAATGTTTTCTTTTTAGCAGACATAATAAATAATGTCTTACCTTATATTTATCCTTTTTTGACCCCAAATTTATTAGCATTGCTATTTCAATAAATTAATAAAATATACTTTGATTATCAGTTTTTCTACTACAGGTAGTATTTTTCCACAAATATAATAATAAATACTTTACTGTACATTCATCTATTTTAATCTCAATTCTACTAACACACCTATTTTACCAAATTAACAAATGTCAAACTTATTTTTGATTTCAATTCTACTAATATTTTTCATTTTCAACTCCAATTCCACAATTCTTATATCTTAAATATTTTATTTTCATCTTTTTCGATTCTAATTTTACTAGTATTTCATTTTTAACAGATCAATTAATAAATACTTTCTGTTCATCTTTTGATTTGAATTTCACTACTATTCTATATTTAGCAGATTCTAATATAAATACCTTAGTCTTTTTTGATTTCAATTCCACTAAACACATATATTTGATTTGACAAAGAATAACATAACAAAGAACTTGTACTACTTAGTAGATTTTTTCAATTCGGAAATTCTAAAATGAATAACTTAAAAAGGTATATCTTTTAAAAAAATTAAATATAGAAAGTAATAGCATATCTGTTCTTACATAATATTTTTTGAATTAATTTATTAAAGCTTGCAAGTAATTCTTCTATTTTCTCATTATACTCTACTAATTTTGCATTATGTCCAGTTAGAGTTAGTTTTAAAGTATTTTTAGTTGACCGTTAATACATTGCAATATTTAAAATCCATAGATCACAGAGTTGTAGTTAAGTTATACCAAATCTTATATGCCCATCAGAGGCTTTTAATCTAAGTGATTAATTGAAGAATTTTTATACTTAAAACATTTATTGAATATTAAATGATATACTCAATACTGCTCAGAAAGAATAGCGGATAGGAGGAGTTGGACCAGATATACTCTGATAAAATATTAGATTTATGCTGTTAGTTGTTATAATATGAAAAAAAATTATATTTATTCATTATGTATTATCTTTGTTTACATATTGGATTTATATTATATAATAGTACTGTAGCTATAAGACATTAATGAATAAAGCTGGACTTTTTATGATATAAAGGCTTAGTATAAACACAAGTTGATAAATTTTTTTTAGACATTTGAATTCATAATAATCAGTTAACTAAGTAAAAAGCAATTATAGTATATTTAATTAAATTTATTATAAGAATTTCATAATTAGAAAAATTAAATTTACCTTAAGTTTTGACCAAATTTTAATCTACAATATATTATATCTTATGTCATTTACAACCTTTGCAGTAAAATAATTATCTGATTTTATCTAATACAGCTCATTACCTTTGTGGTAAAATGTTAAGTTACATCAATTCACACCCTGTTATTTATCTATTTTGTAACAGTAAATATGCTAAGTGAATTCATAATAATAGGATATTATAAAAACACCTAATTGAATAGTTTTCTTTAATTAAAGTAGTTACTCAATTTGATAAAAATTCAATTATGAAAAAAAATAATCACTTATTTCTAGATCTATTAAAATATATAAACATTATTTTTACAATATTCATACAGGAGAAACAATGTATAATTCTTCTTCTAGAAATTTATTTATTTATTTATTGGTAAATCAATTATCATTAATCAATTACTATTGCTTCATAACTTTGCATTTCTTCATCTAAATATATGATACTTTCATCATCATAATTTCTTCATCGAACTTATTATCCAGCTCATTATCTAATTTACCATCATTAAGCTCATCATCATATGCTCTACCATCGTTTAACCCATCATCATCCAGCTTACTATTATCATAATTTGGCTCTTCTTCTAAACATATATCTTTGATTAGCAATTTATCCAGACAGTCTTTGACAATAGCTTGGAAGCAATGTGACATTATATTATCTTTATTACCATCAAGATTAAGTACAAGGCTGGTTGCTTTGAAGACTTAGCTAAAATATTTGGACTTATTTCTCTCCACATCTCAAACATCTATTCGCAGACAAGCTCATACAGTGTTTTTTTTCAGTTTTCTTTCTTAGTATATATTTTTTTCCTTTATTCATCCATTCTTCTTACTTTTTTCTCATTCTGCTTTTAAAAGGCTTGTTTCAGAGACATCTAGTAGCTGCAAAACACTAGTAGTTTTTCTAGGTTTTCTAATATATCTAAACTTTTTGTATTCATTGCTTTATTTACATCACTACAATTATGGTTAAGGTGTTTATCAACAAAAATAATGCCTTTGCTTTTGAAAAATCTATTCGGCCTGGCTCTAATAACTCATAAAATATATATAGAAATCATTAAATCTCTAGTCATAGTTGCAGAAGATGCAGTTGCTATTACAACATCTCACAGAAATCTGCCTCTTGGTTTTTTTTTTAATTTAAAGATTACTGCTGGTGGGAGTTTCTCCCTGGCTGTCATATAATCTAAAACTACTGTAAATCATAGTTTTTCATTATCCATAGTTTTAAGTGACACCTTATAAGCACT